ACTAGAAGTGTCCTAGTTGATTCGATAACATCCTCATTCATCCTCTAATCCCCCGGCGAGTTCCGTTTAACTGAGCGTGGCACGCCTCTTCCGCGAGGACTCTCCTTCAACCCTGTGACGGGCGCGATTGGAGGCCTCGTGCCGCAGACCGCTGCCGACGCCGGTGCAGCCGCAGCTGCGCGAGAGGCTCAAGTAGCGCAAACTCTGACTGTCCAGATCACAGCGGAAGCATCTAGTGGAAGTTGTAGTACTGAAATGGAAATCGAAATCCTGCCTCATAGAACCGTCAGCTACAAGGTGATAGATAGAGAAATCACAGTTCTGCTGAGGAGTTTGCGTAGCCATTTAGAAGTTATTGCTGTGGAGAATAAAGTTACTGCCAGTGGTAGTGGCGCGTCGCAGACGATGTCTGGAGGATCTGCTGCGTCTGGTGGAGCCACAACCGCCGGCTCAGCAACAGCAACATCAGAACAACAACTAGCGAAGATCTCCATCACATCCGAGAAGTCCCACAGTAAGACTCAGCAACTACAGACGTTAGAGCATCTAGTGGCTGAGATCGAGAGGCTGGAGCAACGACCGATCAATTTAGATCCAGGTATCTGGCCTCAGAACTGCGCTTTTATGATCGAGCAGTTGCAGTCGAAGAAACCACCTAGAATTCGACTAGTATCAGGGCACGCAGCAGGCAGTGCGGTTCTTGGGGCGTCAACCGCCTCGTCCTATATGGGAGGCAATTCAACTAGTGCTTCCGCTTCACCAACGAACTACATATGTCCCTTCGACTTGATCGGTTTGCTCTACGAAAGTCACTATTGGCTAGAAAATCTGTGGGAAACGAAGATGTTGCCTGTGTGGAGTGAAATCAACGAAGCCTTAGCGAAAGCAGAGTCTGCCGCAAATAGTGACAGACAAGGCAGTGGTGGCGCGACCTCAACTTCTAGTGGAGTAGGTAGTGCAAGTGCAGCATCGAGTGGAGGAGCGAAGGGAGATGCTGGAGGAGTTCTGCCTAGTGGCTTGCAGAAAGTCGTCGCAGAATTAGGAGTGCAAAGACAAAAGTGGCACGACAAATTCCAGGCAGATCTAGAAGCTCTGCTGCCTCAGAGCAGGAAGCTTTTGCTAGAAGACTTGGATGTCTACGCGAAACACTACGTACTATTTTGTGATGTGTTGCAGTTGATGAATTTATTTCCTCCACAAAAGCTCTGAAAACAGTCTAGGTACAATAAAAGATGATGTACATGTTGAGAGAGCTTTTCATACTGAAAATTAACAATACAGCTCGGCGCGTCCTTCTCGATAGGCGAGGGTCAGAATCCGAGTAAAGCGCCACGTCTGAATTGCCCGCGATGGGTCCAACTACTCAAGGATCACGAAGAGGTGCGCGTGAAAGCAGAACAACAAGTTAGGCACACGAAAGTTCGATTAGAGTCGACGCGCTCACTTCTAGAGAACGAAAGCAGTGAAAGCAGACTGAGGACTTTTCATGAGGTATTATCGTCAAATTGCAGATTGCTAGATAAGTACATAGCAGCAGGACCACTAGGAGGTCATGATGGTGTTTAACGTGTACTTGTACTACTAGTGTTTCCTGATCAGTAACTGGAAGACGAGGTGTTTTTACCAACGCATCATGATCGTCGTCTCAGACAGACTCTCTATTGTATGGTTCTGGTATTTGGTAACCTGAATTTGATCATAAGGGTTCTCTTCTTGTTTTCCCTTCTGATCAAACTCAGGTTACCAAATACCGGAACCATTCAGCTACTCACCCCTCTCCACCCCAATCTTCTTGTATCCGCCCCCAGGTCGGCGCCGTGGACAAATTGCAGTCTATGGGTATGGCCTTACTCGCTATGTCCGTCTGTCCTCTTCCCGGCGCAATGGAAGTCTGGCTAGTTTCGTCAGTCGTCATGCTTGCAGAGACCGATCACGCTGGGCGCCACGTGGTCGTAGAGCACCCGAAGCAGGAACCGTTGTTGAAGATTTTTAAGCGTTTCAACACTCACCCCAGTTTACGAGCCTATGAAAATTTCATCCTAGACTGGGAACCTGGATACAATGACGAACCGGAATTACAGGAAAGGAACGCAGTGGATTTGTATGGCGGAAGTTCATTGGCGTTTCAGCGATCTGGAGGACTTCTCCAGGCAGGGAGACAAATCAGAGAGAAATGCTGTCTCGTGCACAATGCTACAAGCAGGAGTCTAGTGTTGTCATTGTTGACGGCGGAACAAGCAGACAAAGCGGGTGGGTGGATGCAGAAAGCGTTGAGGAGGCATCCAGTAGGACGATTGCTCGAAAAGACCCAGAAAACAAAGCAGACCACTTCGAAAGAAAACGAAGACCGATACGTCGTCATCGGCGCTGGCGACATTGTCAAGGTAGAACTCGAAGAGTTGATAGAAGACACCGAGAGCGACGAAGATACTGGTGTTTCAGTGCTTGGCGTACGACATTCCAGCATCAACATTCGAGGTTCACCACTGGACAGCAAGAACTACGTCAGGAGTCCAAAGAAACTGGCTGTCTCTTCAGAGGAAGAACAAGAGGGTCTGGGTGGAGCAAATAAACCATCAACGGTTATGACGAGGATGCTGGAAAAGACTCAAAAAAGTAAGTACTTGAAAGATGAAAGAGCTGTACCTGCAGCCACATTAATTTGTAGTAGTTCTCGTAGTTGGCGTTGGGCAAAGAATTATAACGACGTTTCCTTGACTTTAAATATCTATATCATAAGCTAGGAGGGTGCACATAGTGCGGGAACCGAACACTTCCCTGAAGCATGCACAGGCCTCGGCCGCCTTAGATGGGAAGACCTCCAGGGCTGTTGGACGGTGCCTAGAATAAACGGATCCTAAACTAAAATGGCCACTAGAAATCTTTACCTACAATTTGCATGTTGTTCCTTCGCTTTCTGTTCCTTTCCTTTCGGTCCTCTTTTCCTAGTTAGGTTGGCTCCACCACTATGTATAAATATAATCATAAGCTAGGAGAAATGCTCACTACAGATATAGTAAATGAAGTCATAGTAAGTGAAGGGTAAGATGAAGTTAACAAGAATTCTAACCTCAGAAGCAGCGACCTCGCCCGAATAGGAATAACTGAGGAGTCCCGATTTGCTCCGCGTGCCGTCTCCGGAGGTCTCATTCAACATGCTGATACAGCTGCGACGCCCAATTTGGTGCGATTTGTGAAGACCTTTTTCCACTACGGCACAAATCCGGAAAACAAATCGAAAGCCATCGGCGATTGCGCTTTGGAGCCAGGCCAAGTGATAAGTTTCGTCTGCGTCGAGTCGCCGGTCCAAGTGGTCTACCGCTCAGTCAGGGAACAGAAGTTATGGAAGATCCGGAAGTAGAGTAGTTTTCATCTTCTTGTTGGATGTAGTGGATCCATGGTATTTATTAGTTGTAAGTACTTATTTAGGTCTAGGGCTGTTTATGTCTACTACAGAAGTAGACTTTGTTTTGTCGACTTCATAATATTTATTGCGGAATCTGACTGAGACTGACTCTTAGCATCTCCGTAAACGTAAACCATAAGCATTCTTGCCCCCGCTCTAAGGCCAGCCGCCAACTACATGCAGATCAAGAACGAGTGCTTCGAGCATTGTGTTGCGAAAGTAACACAGGAGAGTTCGCACTTCTCTCTGGAGACTGGTCTGGATCCTGGCAGCAGCGTCTGTTTCGAAGGAAGAAACCCCACTAGTCGGAAGGTCTTCCAGTTAAGGCTGTATCTAATACATCTTTGGACGCATCCGGGAAACGTATGGAAGAGTATCCTAAGGGAATACTCCCCCATATTTTTCAAGGATGCACTTGAAAGATGAATTACGGACAGCTCTAATCCAGAAAACCGTCAACTTTGATCCAACGTTTAACGTCCTGCTGAAGAGAGGCGCGGACGCGAAAACCGTCGATGCGGAGCTAAGCAACGGACAAACTTTGAGGATTGAAGGGATGGAACTCTAAAACCCTCTTTATTTTAGGAGTTGAAGAACCATTGATGATGAGTCGAATAATCTTACATTACAATTTAGAAGTAGAAATTCGTCTGATAAAGTAGAAATTGATGGTAATCATGTTGGTAAAGGATACTTAAAAGGTACTACTTAGGTAGATCGTGGAGGTTTGAGTTAAGAGTGGAATCAAAACTGGAATCATAACTGTGAACTTTTTTCTCTTAGACGTTGGTTATAAACAAGTTTTTTTACCGACCTCTCCTGAGGCTGAGTCTATATGTGTGTTTTTACGATTTTCGAAGGCATCCTTGTTGTGGTAAAATGGTACTTGTTAGGTGAAAAGAAGAGCCATATCATGTGAAAAAACAGAGTCAATTTAAAGCTCAGTGATAGATCATGATAAATCCTAGATTTGATCGTTCTGGAGAGTAAAGAAAGCACGGATGTTCAAGTCCTCAACACAAAGGTGGTCTACCTAGCGAAGATTGTCATGTAAATGTATGATGTTTTTACGAAAAGTGTTAACCTCACCCTTGATGTACTTGTTTTTAATGTAGTGACGTGAATCTTTCGTGGTGGTCCCCTGACCAGAAGAAAGACGGGCCCCTTTCCTGCCCGATTCCCCCCGAAAAGAAACCTCAAAAACTGCCTGCTCAGAATGAATGCACAGAGAAACGGAGCCTAAAATAAATACAACACCACGAACACTGCCTACACCTTAATCCGCCCCTGTACATCATAGGGCATCCTTTTCATAAAACTGGGTGACACGGGCGAGAGACTGGCTTTGATATGGAAAAATCTTCATCATGATCACTGAGAGAAGAGGCGGGACTAAGTTTCATCTACACCAACACATTGAAAGTAATATAGAAGACGGATGTAGGATGAACTTGGATGGATCGGATGGACCCCCCTAAGTCTTCTGATCCGCCTTGAAATGGTGGGCAGTCCATCCGATCCATCCGATCCATCCCCTCCCGGATCTGCCACTCCTATAAATTATTCGAAAATTATAACACGCAACTCGACAGGCGTCGGCGCCTTGGCCTTCGAGTAGTTTTCAATTTCAAATTCGTAGACATTGTCCATAGAAGTAGATAATATATTCCAAGAAGAACCAATTACTAGAAGATGAAAGGATGCGGCGTCCGCGTCTCTACAACGATGCATGGCGATGTCTATGCGACCAACTACGGCAACAACATGACGGCTACTGCGAGCGACTACACATCGCTTCTTTGACCCTAACTCGACTACTTCTACCTGCATCGAAGATTTACATTGTCTATGTTTCTTATCTTTCTCCACCGACTACCTTCCATGGTGATGGTGGTGACGGAAAAGTTACGACTTCATGACTAAGTTTCTTAAAGGCGGCCGTTTTCAACCTCCTGCAGCTCTACTTGTGTTTCCTCATCCGCGTGTTGCGGGAGTTCCACTTGCGGCCCTTCTGGCTGTTGCTTGGTCTGCGATGGGGCATCAATATCTTCTGAACCGCGAGGAGCAACAGGTGGCGCTAAATCCTGCTGAAGAACATGCTTCAAGAACGGATCACGATCATGAAGCGAAGATAGATCCGGATGGTGTTGTTGTGCATAGGCAGAAGAGAAAAGATGTCTATGTCGGTGCGCAGTTGTATGATAACTCAACTGTGCTGCCGGACCAGTTTGCCCAACAAGTCAATAGTCAAGATGACGGGGAGGACGGTGATCATGATGATGAATATCATGAGCAGGAAGATGGCGGCCCTCATTTCGGTCTCAGTGAACTAGTATCTTCGAGTGGAGCTTCTTCAATACCACCAGGTTGTAGTAATCCAAGTACTACATGGGCAGACTTAGGGGGTCTGAAACAGGAGGTATACAAATTATGGCTAGAAGGTGTCACTGTCACTCTAATACACCACTTGCAAACTTCTAGAAGGTTCGGCTCCGTTGGTCGGATCAAGTACTTCTCCTTATTAACTGGGACAGGTGCACCAGGGGACTATTCGTATTCATCGTCCAATTAAATATAAATTCGGTCTAGACTCTTCTCATCATCACTATAAAAACAATCACGTGACTAGAATAAACAAGATATTCGCTACCATCTTCAGAGTCCACCACCAGCACAATTTTCAACGCGCACCTACACTTCGTTTACAGCTCCTTTCTATGCAAAAAATCCATGAACATCTACTTCAAGAACTATCGGGTTTTTAATAGTAGTTTCGTGGATACATCATTGTATCCAAGTCGAACAAGTCCCCTCTTCTAAAGAAGGGAGCAAATTTATGGGTAGGCAGTGTCTACGTCCATTGCGGTACCATCAAATACAAGTCCCACAGTTGCCCGCATGGAACTGGGCAGCAACTACTAGGCAGTGGTCTCACTATAACGCTCGGGACGTGTCGTAGTCTTTGTTATGGAACCGCCGAACTTCTAAAAGATCTTCAACAATTATGTCTATGTATCATGTCAATAATTAGTAGTGTCTATCAGGTCTTGCCTGACCTTTCTTTTTTCGGTTTTTGTTTTTTCTAGTTAGATAAATATGTATCCTCCACATGTCTATGTATCATGTCAATGACTGAATAGGGTGCAAGCATTCATCACTGGAGGAGACGGGTTGACCCTGTGGAACTTGAAGGTGAGTCAAGTCCAATTTCATCCTATGCATACAGGGTTGTTTGAAAACTAGAGAATGAGAAGTAGATCTAGATCGTAACGTCGATAATATCTTATCATATCCTTTCGGGGGATTATCGATTGCGGTTCATCTGGCACGGTAGCTGTGCATCTTATCGGATACTATCCTCCTATCCGATAGGTTCTAGCACATTCGCTACTCCTTTATCAGTCTAATGTTCCCGTGTAAATGCGAATTGTCGTTATCTCGTGTACGGCAGAAGTATTGCAGCGCTGGCGCATGGCTTTTGCTGGGGCTATACAGGCGGCTGCGCATGGCGCAGTGGCAGGAACGGTGACCACAAGTTATGAGCCCTGAGAAGAAAATTTCGATGTTGTAGAAGGTTTCCCATCTTCCCAGGAACGCCGATTTCCTCCTTGAGCAACAGAAAACCAGAAATCCGATTTTCGTCACTCTGGAATGACATTGACATTCCTACCCTGAGGACGGCGAATCGTCTTCGTCCGAGTCATTTCATATTTACCAATAAATCCTCACACATTCTTATTTACTCCTATCTCAGACTGTCACTCCTTCATAATCCCAACTCGCTGCGATGTGCGTTCACCTGAACGCATGGATGAATCCAAAGAGGTACACGACAGAAGCAGACTGTGCTTTCTGGCGTACGACGACGCGAACTCCCACTACCCAACCCCCGCCGACTACACCAGCACCGACGACATTACCGCCTACCACTAGGACTATTTTAAGACTTGTCTATATGGTAGCTGCAGGAGACTTTTTTACTAAATTATTCACTTCGGTCTAGACTCTCATCATTGTATGGGGAATCAAACCATATTTGATGTATGAGCTGGAGCTCTGCTCGTCTTTGTCGAGTTCTTTTCTTTTCCTTGTACTGTCTCTGTTGAGCAGAGCAGAGTGGTCCATTAAAATTCTCTCGTAGAAGATTTTTCAAGTCACAAAATCTATCATGGATGTGACATGATTTGGATTATATTTTAGAATGCTAGTTTTTCGCAAGCAGCAAGATCACGACTCTTCATCTAATACGTACCACAACTTTTACTACCACATCGACGACTACAAAAAGTCCAACTACAAAGAAACCGGCAAAAACCACCACTCGCACCAGCACAATTAAGTACAACTGGACTAATTGTGAAGAATGAGTACTTTTTCCTCCACTTGTATTATTAACTTTTATCTTCTAATACTCAAGTACAGCAACATCAACTACTAGTTAATGTACAGCACAATTTTCAAGTACAATAATTGCTGTACTTGTATTAGTATTAGAAGATAAAAGTTAAAGAACGACGGCGCCGGTGGAGGAAAAAGCCAAGTGCACCGTCGTTCTTTAACTTTTATCTTCTAATACAAGTACAGCAACATCAACTTCAACCACTAGTACGTCTACTCGCACGCGTACGAGTACTAGTACGGTAACATCCACAAGAACAGAGACGTCGACAAGTACAACCAGTTGTATGAAGAAATTTCCCTATTCTTGGTCCATCTTCAGAGAAGTCATCCTGGGGACCCATCTCCAGAAGCGTCTCCTTTCCATCTTCAGAGAAGTCATCGTAGAAGAGACGCTTTCAAAGGAAAAACGGTCTCAGGATGGTGGTCTTCAAGATGGATAAGGGTGAGCGCTAACAGTGCCACAACTTCTAGTAGCACAACGACAACTACAGTACAGAGTACAGGGATAATTAAGGGTTACCGAATTACATCCCGCACTACCAGCCTTGGCTCTTTTTCTGCGCCAGGGATGTTCTGAGGAGTGTAATCCTGCAACATCTAAGATAATAGGAAGTGGGACGTCTTCATCTATGGATGATGACGAAACAAGATCCCTAGGAGCAGACGCTGAAGAAAAAACCACTTCAAGAGCTTCTGCTGGCGCGACCGCCGCCAAATTACTGGGAGTGTTAGCACCAGCGATACTCTTCGGCCTGCTGTTCTACTATGGCCAGAAATAAATGAGATGAGCAAGTATAATGATCAGCTCTTCACTTGATGTATTTTTAGTAGAACACTAGCAGATACAGATTAGTCAGATTTAGTCTGAAATATCAAATCGATAGTGTTTGATAGTGTTGCAGATGCAGTAGTTTGATAGTGTTTGATAGTGCTGCTCAGCTCTTGTATTCGTAGTAGAACATCACTAGAAGAACTACATCATGCACGACCGATTACTAGAACACATAGTCGAGTAATGTGCTAATCGGTCGTGCAGCATGATGTTTTTAGTAGTAGTAGGAAGACCTCAACATCTAAACCCCTCGTGCTCGGGAACGATTCTTGAGAGACCAATGGCGTGCACGAAATCGAGGTGGAGGTGGGCCACATACGGAAGAGGAGGATCAGCGACCGGATGATTGGGATGAAACTGACGAGAGCGACACAGCACTTGAAGGCGCTGACTCGTCTACTCTGGCGGGACTTGGTGCTGATTGTTCAACTAGTACATTATGAATGATGTAGTTGAGAATAATTTGTATTTGATTTGTTGATGGAGCAAATTGAATTTGGATACAGAAGATGAGACAACAATTTATTTTAGCAAAGATTTCACTACAACAACACGACCACGCAACGATTTTGATGTTGTTTTCATGGACGGCAAGTGACTGATTTGTCATCCCCTGCTTAATAGGCTCACACTTCCTCGGTCAACCTCAACCTTAATGGTCACTTCAGGAACAGTGTTGTCTTGCTGAAGGTAAAGAAGGACCTTCTGATTACCATCCACTTGTACGTAGTAGAAAGTCTAACCGACACCGGATTTTTTGCCGCTCAAGCTGATTCAACCGATAGTATGATCGCGACAGGAGAGGGGAACGATTCCAAGAACGACTCAGAAGCAACGAAATTACGCAAAGAAGGGAAGACGCGTGTGAAGAAAGCTGGCGCCGATGGACCTTTGCTTAAGGCTCACAATATTTAATCTCCACAGGAGATTGATGGGAGGTTCCATGTTAGACTCATCTGAGAAGACGAGCTACTCGATAACAGTAGATGAACTATTGTGACGTCGAGCGCTAATTTGATGCTATCAGCCTCCGCTCTAGCAGACGGCTCGAATCTAGTTGGTGGGTCATCTGCGCTTACACGAGGTCCATTGGGTGCTGGCGGAAATCTTGGAGCCCTTGGAGGTGGATCATCAGCGTTGACTGGGTCATCAGTTCCTGCTCCAGGAGGTAGGGATTCGACTTCGAGGTTTACAGCTTTGGGATACTTGTTTTTTAGTTGCCCTTTTCTTTTTTATATCTTCCTCTGGTCTGTCTTTTTTCTAGTTAGGTCGGCTCCACCACAAGTATTATCATGCTGGTGTCGATCATTGTCTGTGTAGTAGTACTTTGGTCGTAATCGATCAGTAGTTGTTTCCTCAAAAGACATTATTTTTTGGAGTATCAGGATGTCCTTGTTTTTTGGCTACCCTACTTAGTTTGCTACTACTACATATTCTAACTCCACAACATCGCCGAGAACTGCAGGGATGAAAGCTGCTACTGAAGGAGTATTTTCTGGCTCTGCGGCTTTTGGAGCTGGAGGATTGGCGGCTTTTGGAGCGGGAGGCTCGGCGGCTTTTGGCACCGGTTCAGCGTCTCCCGGTGCCAGTCCTCGTGGCTCGGTTGCAGTCGGTGGAGGATCGGCGGCGGTTGGTGGTGGCTCCCCCGCATTGGGGGGAGGCTCTGTAGCTTTTGGATCAGCAGCTCCTGGTCGGGGCTCCGTCGCAATAGGGGGTGGTTCTGCAGCTTTTGGTGCAGGTTCACCGGCACTGGGTGGAGGGTCGGCGGCTTTTGGATCAGCAGCTCCTGGTCGGGGCTCCGTCGCAATAGGGGGTGGTTCTGCAGCTTTCGGCGGTGGGTCGGCGGCCTTCGGTGCAGGGCCGGCTGCAACTGGCGGTAACACGTCTCCTCGTGCTGCGCCAGCTCCATCTGGTTCGCCAGCATTCGGCGGTGGCTCAGCGGCTTTGGGTGCAGGGTCGGTTGTAATAGGTGGAGGCTCGGCGGCGTTCGGTGCAGCAGCTCCCGGTCGTGGCTCGGTTGCAATAGGTGGAGGGTCGGCGGCGTTCGGTGCAGCAGCTCCTGGTCGTGGCTCGGTTGTAATAGGTGGAGGCTCGGCGGCGTTTGGTGCAGGCTCAGCGGCGTTTGGTGCAGGGTCGGCTGTAATTGGAGGCTCGGCTTCTCCTCGTGCTGCACCAGCTCCCTCTGGCTCTTCTGCTTTTGCAGGACTAAGCATTAGCGCCTCTCCTCGTACTGCGCCTCCGCCATTGCCGGGCTCTGCTAAGGCTCCGAGTACATCGGCACGTGGAAATGCCGATGATGCCGCACAACCAGGAGGAAAGAAGAAAAAGAAAAGCGTCAAGTTCGGTGGCGAGTCTTTCCGACCACTCACAGATTCGGATACGCTGATGCAACAATTATGAGAGGCTTGGACTTCATCTTTCTCACTTCCTGTATTCAAATTTTTCTGAGCATCACCCCTTCTTAGAATGTCACGTGATCTCAGAATGCCAACTCTAACTCGTGCTTCCCCCAGAGCCAGAGCTGCACAGAGCAGTCCTGTTGTGCCCATTCTGTCGACTACGGGCAGCGGACCTTCGAAGGAGGCGAAGGGGAAAGGGAAGAAGAAATAGCACTCTTTCAGACAACAACAGATTTCGGTGGTAATTTGTTACAACTATCTAAGTACGTTCCGGTGTAAAAACAAACTGGACGTTCTCGGTTCGAGATAATTAATTACAGACTTGATCGGTATCGTCTGTCTTGCCTGTGCCGTCGGTTTCGATATTGTGACGCTTCCACTTTTCGCCGCACAGCTATTACAACTAAGTATCTAAGTATCAAATAATTTCTTGTTTACATTCTGGTCTAGGAGTTATGTTTCTTATAATTAGTGGTCTATTCGAGTTTACAACCACGTTGATACGAAAGTCGCCTGTTTTTTCAAAGGCAAAAAAGGTTGTGATTTTAGATCCTACCTAAGAATCGTAACGAAGCTGGAGGCGTTATGGTGATTTCTGATTCATCATCTTCTAAGATATATAGCCCTAGCGTTGAGACTTCAGGTAGTTATCCTATCCGTTTTGGATTACTAGAGGTCCTCATTGATCTCTTTTTTTGCACAGAGTTTCTTTGTTACTCTCTACCATCTTTGCTATCGTACAGAATTAGTTTCTGCACAGGAATTTCGCCATGACATCTTTTCCGATTGCATTATCTATCATGATTACTTTTAGAACAATCCTCACCAGAAGTAGCAGTACAGTACTAGACTAGAGCAGTCTGTCACGACACTATCAGCAGTTTAAGTTCTCTCGATGAAGATTTTGTCCCACGATCGGATACAGCACAAGGTCAAGGTCAACAAGGACAGGGAACACAGCAGACTTTTCTCAGTAGACAAACACAAACTAGCTACTATGTATAATTAGCATGATGTGGGACAGATGAGATAAAAAACATACAGAAGTAGAGCGGAATTCTCGAAGTCGCATTTCCCGTTCTATTGACAGTGAAAATGGCGACAGCAGCGCTTCTTTCAACAAGGGTATCTACTCTGATGATGTCAGCACTGTGGCTGAAGTTTGTACCGGAATGAAAATGGTATAAAAAATAGATACAGTATTCAGTGACGAGAGAAGCAGTTCGTGACTACTGAGAGTAGAGGTTCTTGAGTGCTGAATTGTCCTTCTCACCGACCCCCGCAACGTATTCCCATTCCCATTTTGAATTTGATCACGAAAATGAAAGGGGCGCAGGGCACTCGAGCAGGTCCTAATGACGAACAAAAGGCACATTTTTCCATAGTTCATAGGGGCTGTCCGAATGCGAAAGCGCACGGCGCACGATCTATCACCAAATTTAGAGAAAAATTGCAATAATAGAAGATATGGTCGCGGGAGCAGGAGTTTCCACTGCAGCAGGTGGCCGCGCAACTTCCACAGCAGCTTCGTTGGTCTACGTTTTCTGTGCCAGCTATGGAGTAGTGTCGTTTTGCACCACGCTGATACAGAAGATACCGTCGCTATCGCAGGCGCTCGCGTCGCTGTGCAGGACTAACCCCTATTGCAACAACGTCTTCTATGTCGCAGATCTAGGTCAAAGAGATCTGGCTCTTTTCGTGACGCAGTTTGTCTGCACGTTTCTCTGTTTTGCGTTGGCACACGTATGTTTGTCAACATCATCTACTTGTTCGACCGGAGGAAATGATCAAATACAGACAACATCACGAGGGCTCCTGTACTCGAACAAGAATAGTACATCTTCCTATTTTCGTGACGGGACAGAAGATCAGCACACGATCTTCAAGCGGAATGAAGGGCCAGACGAAGGCGACTGTTCCGAACCTTCAACTCAAGCTACAGAAAGCGAATTCGAGGGCACTAGGAGTCGAAAATCTGCGAATGGTGTTGAGGCTAACAGTGACAAACGTGGCATTGTAGTTGTTCTCTCCCTAGTAAGCGGAGAAGATGGCATTGTAGTTGTTCTCTCCCTAGTAAGCGGAGAAGATGGCATTGTAGTTGTTCTCTCCCTAGTAAGCGGAGAAGATGGCATTGTAGTTGTTCTCTCCCTAGTAAGCGGAGAACATGGCATTGTAGTTGTTCTCTCCCTAGTAAGCGGAGAAGTAGTAGTAGGAGTAGTAGTCAGGAACCACGACACTATACAACAGGGACAAAGAACCTCTAATTCTGTCCTCAAACACTTAGTACTATTATGTTGATCTTCTAATATCAATGGAGGCGTCCCAGCACACGAAGTCGCGGACTTGTCCTCTACTAGTCCATCGTCTCGTCCTTCGTCACGTGTGGCGCAAAAACTCTTTATGGATGGCGCATTCGATTTGACACACTACGGCCACTTCAATGCTCTGCGGATTGGGAAGAGCCTAGGGAATTACCTCTGCGTCGGGGTCAACTCAAGTGAAAGCATAGAGGAGAGCAAGGTATATTTCTTGCTTTATATTGGAGAGTCTGAACGGGCAAGCACATCACAGATGATGAATGCCTCCAATAGGATTCCATGTAACTACATGATGAGCCATCTCGATCATCTCATTGAGTATTAATATCCATATTACCATATTACGCACAGGGTTTCGCCCCCGTCCTGACCGATGAAGAGAGGTGTATTGCCATTGAGGGTTGTCGTTTCGTGGACGAAATCATACCTCAGAGTCCGTATGTGATGACAAAGGAGTATATGCACGACCTGGTGAAGACTAAGCAAATAGACTACTTCATACACGGAAGTGATCCCTGCATCGTCGACGGAGAAGATGTGTATAAGGAGTTATGGGTTGGTGGCCTAATCAGATTTGGTGATCGACGCTTTGTGAAGAAGTATCCGAATCTTTTTGTGGTATTTCGAAAAGTTGTCATACTCGCAACTACTACGTAATATTAAATTCATTCTAAGTCTACTTACTTATGTTCCTCCTAGTAGTACGTACTCGAAGCCCTCTAATCACAGCGCGAAAAATGGGTCGTTTCAAGGAGATTCCTCGTACTACAGGCATCTCTACCACGGATATGGTAGGACGGATGCTCTTGTATGGACAGACTTCTTCAAAGAAGGAAAGTAAATCGAGTAGAAAGTGTGGTATGTCGAAGTCTAGTAGAGGCGGTGCGAGTAGTGGTCCTTCGTCTCCGGATCTAGACGACGATGACTGCTCCCAGAGGTCGTATAGTAAAATGACGGCACAGCAGAAATCTGCGGCTACGCTGGCGAGTTATGAGGTGTACTAAGCAATGATCATGAAGGACAAGATGAAGTTGAAAACCACGAAGATCAACATCTAGTACAGTCAATGTTGATCCTCTCTAACCTCTCGGCGAGCATCCTGGTGAGCAGCGATTTTATTCGACCACGGCAATGCTGAGAGCGTTTTCTGAACATTGTCGGTCGCCGAATGCTGGAGAAAAAGTGGCCTATTTCCCGGGATCATGGGACATGTTCAACGCTACGCATATCCTAGCTATGAAGCAAGCAAAAGAAGCACTCGGATGCGATTACCTACTCGTTGGTACTGATGTGCTCCTGGAATTTGCTTTATTTTCGTTTGATATTTTCTTTCAGGATCCGTGACGAGATGAAGATGCTCGAAGTATGGATGAACTACTTGAATGGTTATAGTTTTTTAGGAGCATAGAACATGAAATAAACAAGGACCACAAGCACAACCGCAACTGACGTAATTTATGAACTGTAACTTTTCTACCGATAGGCGTTTATTCCGACGCCGTTGCCACAGAGGTAGACTCAGAAGCACCCCTGCTTAGTTTCTACGAGCGCATGCTGTCGGTGTTAGGGTGCAAGTATACCGACGACATCATCGTACCAGCTCCGCAGGCGGTCACAGCAAAGCTTTTAGAAGAGTTCAAGGTTTCTAGTGTCGTCGTTCTGGATCCAGAGGAACCAGCATCTGCCAGTGGAACATCAACTACACCATCGACTGGAGGTGGAAGTTCCTCTTTCGTTATTAGAAGTCAACTGGAAGTAGAAGAAGATGGAGGCTCCGTAGTGCTAGCGGAGCATTTGGCAAAAGTTCCCAAGGAGAGACTGCACAGACTTCAACCACGTCGAGGAAGCTTGAATAAGCAAGTGATTCTGCGGCGCATGTTCTTGAACCACAAAGCTTTTCAAGAAAAATTTGAAAGCAAGATAAAAAAAGAATTGGAATACTAAATTGCTATCTTCATTGATACAACCAGTTGTACATTTCATTAATGGGAAAAAGTAACCTTATCTTCGTGCCTACCACGCCGGCTAGCACTACCACTAGACTTCGATCACACTACCAAGACACATCACATGTAGAATCAAGCTCATGGTCATGTTTGAATCATGGGTATGGGTTCGCGTCTATTTTGTGGCTGTTTTTTTGTTGTACATTCTTTCAAGGATCATTTGGAAACACGAGTAGATATGCTCAAGAGATAACCGTTATTCGGTACTACACCAAAGGTGGGAGTGTTCGTTTGGCGCTGCATACGGGTGGTCCAACGACGCGGGGATAGTTTGGGCCCACCTTCACATGTCAGATGAGAGGTCATATCTTTTGCACACGATCCATCATGATCCTTGAGGTGGAACGTCGCCGACCTCGGAGAGATGAAGAGAGATGAAAATCTTTTGATGTTGTAATTCAGAAAAAGCGTTCTGCAGGACGAGCAAAATGATGTCCATCATGTGGTTTGCCCTGCTTCGCTTTTCTCTGGTGTTGCAACTGCAACAAGCGACATTGCTAGTGTTCGCACAGCTACCAGCAGCACAACAAGGATCTACTCCTGTGCCAGTAAAGAGCACTGAGGAGCAGTATATGGGTGTTGCCGCTCAGCTAGTGGAAGACGAATGTATTCCTTCTCCACGACAGCAGTTTGTAGAGCCCCTACGTCGTTTTGCCGCTGGTGGCCTTCTAGCCCAGGAGGAACTCCATTTGCGAGGCCCGGAGACGAATCTGATCAAGTGGCTAGACGTTTTGAACGACATCCTAGGGAATAATCCCTATGCGGCGTTTGAATGTCCACTGATAATGACAGCACACATACGAAAAGCGGCTGATGCAGCGCTGTATCTAGGACAAAAGAGTCGAGCAAGAGTCTTGTTACAGATTGGTAACATGTTCAAGTTGAGTGCAATGTCGAGGTGGTACACAGCAGTCTCAGAGCAGTATACGAAAGAGCAACTGCCGCCAGCAAGACAGCAAAGATTCGAACCGAGAATGCAGATGGATTATCAATTGGGTTTAGCACTGCTCACGCAGCAACTGTTGTTAAGGCTTGCACTTGTTCTCGAGGAGGAGGAAGAGGAAGTTGATTGTGAGCTTGATGAGGTTCATTTCTAGTAGAGATACTCAGCATTCCTGCCAACAACAAGCACAGAGATGAAGATACGAGGACATCTTCGCGAGTGCTAACAACATGATCTAAGTATCTGCGACCTTGTCTAACAATAGCCTCGCCAGTAGAACCGATAAGAAAATGGCCAGCACACAAACCAAAGCCAAAGATTGATGTTTTGTCCATTTGCGTTTATTCTCCAGATGAGACGTCAAATACCGTTCTAGACAGCCCTCTACCCGGCATGTCGCCCGAGAATCACAAACAGTACGTGAAGCAAACGGGATTGAACAGATATGTGATGCATGATAAGGTACTAACTTAAACTTCTATATTACCAGATTGTTTGATAGAACTACAACTAACTTAAACTTCTATATTACCAGATTGTTTGATAGAACTACAACCAACTTAAACTTCTATATTACCAGATTGTTTGATAGAACTACAACTAACTTAAACTTCTATATTACCAGATTGTTTGATAGAACTACAACTAACTTAAGATGGTCTTCACGGGTTCAAACAGCTCTTGATGCCAGATCGGGAAGCGCATTATTCGAAGTTTTTAGTCGTGTACCAGCACATGCAACAGAATCCAGACGTGGAGTGGGTCTTTTTCATGGACTGTGACGCTTTTTTCACGAACTTCGACTTCACAGTGTTTGACCTCTTGGAAACCTATGCACCTGATGAGGTGATAGCTGCTGCAGTTAAGGCTCATGATGCTTCACATTTCTTTTTCCACACAGAGGACTTTTCTCAGTTTGTAGTTCCATCTTCATGTAGAAGTTGGATTCTGGGAAAGTGTCGGTGGACACAACTCGTCTAAAGCTGACGGTGATCGACCGCAAGCATCACAACAGAGCACGACATCTACCGGGAGTAAAGCTTCTTCTCCAGTAAATTTCATCGTCGCTGAGGATACAGGTGGGATTAACACGGGAGTTTTCATGGTCAGGAATACGCCTTGGTCGTACGATTACCTACAAAGAGTGACGATGTCGCCTTTCACGACAGCGTGGGATCAGTCTATGTTCTTCATGTCTGCGGTGAACGAGACGCTCTTTGGCTTTTCTCCAGAAGACTATGCGGCAGGATTGATGTTATGCAGGAAAGGTGTGCTGTCGTTTGCTGAAAAATCGATAAAATTATAAGGAACTACAACCATTAGTTTTAATAGTGTTGATCAAGACAAAGCATTCCAAAGGAAAATGATAATAGACATGGATGAGTAATGCATCATGGGCGTCTCAAAGCAGTAGCAAGCACGGTCAGCGCATTTGTAATCTTGAAGAGCCAAACTCCAGCTTCATCAGAGCGATTTTTTGTTCTAATCTCAGTGTCAACATCTGCGAACGGACAACAGCTGCCACCACAACAGCAGAATCAGGAAGGCGACATGAGCCAGACCTTTGCGTATCTAGCACGACATGATCCAGAGAAGCTTGTAGCATTGATACATCAGCTGCCGGAAGAAGAAACACAGCATCTGCGGCACACGAGTTTGATTGAACGAGATTTTGGATTGCCACCCTTATGAATGAGGAGAGAACAAAGAAAAAAGGTTAGAAAATAAAAAAGGCAACTGCAACAATTAAGTCCTGCGAACGACCTCTTGCTAGGTAAATGAATGAATGAATGTCGAATTTAAAGGGGGCTTTTCCAGGCTTCAACAGTTGTTTCTCAGTCACGATGTAGCCATCATCCCCCAACACCTCTAACCCTCGAAGTCGTTTTCCTCCATCAAAAGCATTTGAACGCTTTTGTGCCTCCTGCGAGTAAGGATTGGGGCGGCTATGAATGGCAACCTGGAGACTTCGCAAGGCATTTCGCGGGTTGCCCGTGGCAAGAAAAGCCCTGTCTGGATATGATGTATCAGACTATGGAGTTCGGGAGGCAGCAGTATAAGTGATGTGATGGCGAAGGGGTCGGGAGGATGCCATTCTGATGAGATATGACGATGTTAACCTCTCTGCCGTTCATGCCTATCTTGGGAATATAGTGATAAGGTACTGACAAGACTTTGATGTTGCGCTCTCGCTACCATTCTACTTATGATCATTGCTTTTTCAATGTCTTGCGCGCTATCTTCAGTGGCGCATCCTATGGATGAGACGATAGGCGCATGCTTTGTGCCGAGTTCTTATGCTGCAAGCATGAGAGTCGTGCTGTGAGAGAAGTCGTGCTGGCGAAGCCGTGTGAGTAGATGATGACTTAGAAAACATCAAAATGCAAGTGGAGCACTGCAAGGACTGATTATGCACAGGGTATGATCCTCGCAACACCGAGGAGAAGGAGGATGCTGTCGAACGGCGTCTCGGCGAGGTCACAAAAGAAGATAAAATAAAGGTCAAGGCGAGGTACTGCTATGGACCTTGTGCGGTCCACTCAAAAGATCTGAGCAACATCATCATGTCCCTCCAACGACTTTCACGGCCTGTTTGGGCGCCTCTCTTTCGACAATCCCTCTTCCGCCTAAAGTCATCGACGCCGAGTGAGATCTTGCCTTCCCTCTGGCTCATCGAGCGCCTCTTATGGTTTTTCATTCTAGCTACAGTTTGAGTCTGAGTCGCTCCTCCTATACTAAACAGCATAAACCTGATGAGAAACTACGCATCAATTTTTTCAAATCTTCTAAGTCTCGAAGAGCTCCGCCGAAGACCGTTGGAATCCAGCACAACGACTGAAGTCATCGACAGGACACTGAAATCCTGCCAGAAATTGAAGGACGTGGAGGAAGAGATACGGAAGAATGCTCGTACTTATACTATCTATTGCTTGGGACATCATTACATTTTGTTTATAGTACTTATACTATCTATTGCTTGGGACATCATTACATTTTGTTTTAGTAGGTGGTCGTGGTCTTGTTCGTGAAGGCCAAGGCCTCATCTTGATGTTGCAGCACCTTGATGTGACAAATCCAAAGGATCTATCATCAACATATATATCTCCTGCTGATTCTACAACTTCAAGTACGAGTTAGTACACCCAAAAATGTGTTCACTATTCTCAGAAAACCGTACACGCGTGCGCAATAATCCGGTTGTAGGTGGAAGGGATGGACGCGGTCGGGACGATGGAAGCGGCATAGCTACAAGTGGGACTGCGATTTATGCTCCCATCACCGGCGGCCTTTTCAGCATTCCTATGATCTTCTATCATGGGATTTTTATCCTGCCAACGATCTATTGCGCGCGCAAAACGTACCTCCATTGGCGTGCGGTGCAATCGCGAGGCGCCGCTACAGAGGATGAAATGGAGGAATTGGAGAAGGAAAGGAAGGAACTGCAACAGAAAAAGAAGCAGATTCTAGTCGAATGGGCGCAAATATCAGAGAGTTGGACGGATACTTTGCGCATGGAGCTTCGAGAACCCGAGGATAGAGGCGCAGGCGAGCGGATGACTGAATATAACCGACCAGGAGAATATCAAGACGGAGCAAAGAATAAGGAGGACAGCTTCACTACAACACCAAATGGACAAGTTGTTAGTGGGAGTCACCAGCTCCCTGTTGGTAAAGTATCTGATTTGAAGATGCAGGACAAGAACAATAGAGAACAAGCACCGAATCATACTTGTACAGCTAACCAACAAGAGGCTACCGCTAGTACTATCACCCAGTTGAACAACGTCGCTTCATCGAAGATATAGATGGGACAACTGTTTGCAGTTTGTGCTAAATACAGTGACATTCTGTACCACTTTGCAGAAGAGTACGAAGAATTCAGTGTTACCATTTTTTTCTGATGCTGGACAAACATTTTTCTAAATATCTATTTTCTTACGATTTTGATAAGTGTGAAGTTTTTTGTTTCAAGCTAGCTTCTAAATTTTGAATTAATTCAATATTTCAAATTTATATTCATAACACTATTTCAGTTTCACTACACTTGAATAGCTGCAGAACTGCATTCAAATTCAGCAGAAATTCAAATTGAAAACCTAAATTTTTGATTTTATCTCCAAAAATTCGAATTCATTTCCTGAGAACACCAAAATATTTTCATCATCTTTTTCAACAAATTTTCGAGTATTTTCACTTGCATACTGGATTAGAGTAAGGCATTTTTCGATTTGAGACGATAGGAGACGATACTTTGAGAAACTATCAGATCTGATGTTCTAAAAATCTTAGAAGTCTGGTAGAAGTCAAAAATTTTGATGAAGTAGATCAAATTTGGGTTTAGTGCAAATTTTAGTGTTGAAAATGGAAATTCATTTGTCTCTAGCAAGGTCGAACTCAATGATTGAATGATTCATCCAGGTTCACATAATATAATCAACAGAAGTATCTGAAAAAAAAGAACAAGAACTATGTCTTCGTCCTCTAAGATGCATCGTATCGTCCCTCGGAGCAGGTCTTGCTCCTCTGCCTCATATCGGAGCATTGGGGCTGCAACCTGGTGTGCGTCTGCTCCCAGCTCATGCTCATCAGTGTATCATGGGTATGCAAGTTGTAGGAGCAGCCTCGTATCATCATCTGGAAATGGAAATACGCCCTACAACCATTCAGGAGAATCTCGACGCTACTATGCAGCCTATAGTGATTCCTCTGATCGACGACTTGCGATTCGAGAAAAGAAAGGCATCGAGATATTAGAGTACTTTGGGGAAAATGCCGATATTGATATCTCGACACTGCAGGAAGCTCTGAAACGATTAGGACAGGATACCCAGTCGCCGGAAGCGATAACGCAAGTAGCGAACGAACCCCGTTTTCACACGCTGCTTGGCAAAATGAAAAAGAAAGTGGAGGAGGTAATATGTCATTTGGACAACTATAAAAATGTGCATCTGTGGCGCTGATCTCGCAAGACATTACAAGTTGTGGTCTTCTTGGACAAAGCTGCATGTTTTAACGATATCCCACGAACTATCAAGGAAACTTTCTCCACCCACCTCGTCTACAACTACAGGGCAACCCCGACGCTTTAACCCTAGCCAAAATAGCGGATTCGATTGGGAAATTGCGTTTTTCTACTCCTGAACTAGAGGATTTGACAGCAACGGTCGCAACCGCAGTGAAGCAAAGGCCAAATGCTTTCTCACCACGGAATTTGTCGCAATTGTTAAGGCGAGTGTCGTTCATGATATTGCTATTGGTTGTCAATGGGATTTAGTCGTGTGAAGAACACTTACACTCTCATGATCTCTGAGTAGTGTTATCTTGGTAACTTGCTATTTTTCAAGTTTATTACTCTACTGCATCTGCAAGAAACAAGATGCAGTGTCCTAATAATATCACGAGCTGTTTGCTCACTCCCTCTAACCCAAGCTCTCGCCTTAAGCGCGCGCAAATTGCAGGATCCTGATCTAGTGGAATTCGTGAGAATGGAGACTTTGAAGTGTGTCCAAGACGTAGAGCCAGCTCACGCCAACGCGCTCTTAGAAGCTTTCAGGCGATGGGGCTTCTTCGACCGCAGAATGCACGACATGATCATCGAAAGGATGACGGATGAAGTGGACAGGTTCTCCAGTAGGGACATCTGCGATGCTTTGAAGGTAATATATAAGACATAGCAGTGTTGATGACAATTACATTTACAACAACTTTTCTTGCTATCGAAGTAGTGAAGAGAAACTCCTATACTTTAGGCTACCAAGCGAGCATCCTCAACATCATCCCTGCCTCATTTTCAAGAGGGAAATGGATCCAGGGCGGATGGTAGTTCTAATATACCCAGGAATCCCCTCCTCAACATCCTCCTCTAGGTCCTCTCTGATCTGGGTTTGGTTCGCGGTTTCCTTCTGCGACGATTAGCGCAACTCGCTTTCGAGAACTTGCGCGTTTTCACGCCGAAACAACGAGTTGGCATCACGTATTCACTGGCTAGGTTGAGGTTCCTGGTGAGGATGAACATGGACGACGTGTTGGACCACTTGCGTGACGACCTAGAGGAAAACGCGCTTTCCGCCGCTGATGTTTCCAAGTTATTCTTTTCGATCTCGATGCTGCATCCCGAGTTCGACGACCACGCTTTGGTCAAGGACCTAGCTTCACGCTTTTTGGATCAGCATCGGAAGCAAGTGGTTTACATGATTCATCTGATCGATGCCGCATGGGCGATTGTGAGGTTTAAGCACGTTTTCGACAAGGATTGCTATGCAAAGAGGGTCGAAGACCTGTTCTCAAGGATTTTCTCAATGCCAGTGGCGAGAAACCGGGTGTTGTTGGCCAAACTTTTCGAAGTAGTGCACTCACTGGAGCAAGAGGAGTGGAGAATTTTTCAAAAAAGCAGTATTGGTGCAGCTGAAGACGAGAGTATTGCTGGTTCTGACTCTGACAGCTCCTCGACTGCATCTTCTACTTCTCCATCATCTGCTGCAAATAAGAGTAAAGGCGGGAAAAATAAGAAAGATAATTCGAAAATTATGGCCACGACTGCTGCATTTTCTTTTTCATTTTCAATCTCAGTATGCTCATGATCCCCAGATTCCTTTAATTAAAAAGATCTTGAACTTTAGTACTGCAACAACACCTGCTACTCGAGTAACTACAATAAGGATACTAGTCCTAAGAATAGCCAGTGAAGCGAACAAAGCCATTTCAAATACCTCTAATCTGCACACCTCCCTCACTGGCTTCGCATTACAGCAACAACGAGTCGCTGCCCTCGGAAAGGGCGGTAGTTTTAAGCAGTGGAAGATCGCTGCAGATGAGACAGACGGTGTTGCACAATCGAAAAACGAAAGCTCCCGCTTACATGCAGAATTGGTGATGAAGCTGGAGCATACGTTCCATAGGAGAAGACTGCATCTAGTGCAAAATCAGCTAGTGGCGAATTGCTTCCGGGTGGATATCGCTGAACAACGCACCAAGCTTGTCGTGGACATTGACGCGCCAAATCGAGCTGTGAACCGTGTGGTGAAGCATCGGATTTTGGCGAAGCTGGGCTATTCGCCAGTCCAGGTCTCCTACTGGCGTTGGAGACAATGCAAGAGTGATGAGGAGCAAGCGGCGCTACTCGAGAAAAGTGTGGGCGAGAAGTTGCCGAGTGTGGCGTCGATGGAAGGAGGTGGCGAATAATGGAGGACGGTTGTTCCCCAAATCCAAGACGAGTGGTCCTCTGCATAAAGACATTTACAGCATAAAGTTTGAAGATACAGCTTTATCGTGAAGATGTGAATGCAGTCAAGAACAGTAAAAGCGAGATAGAACAACATGATAGCTTGTCGACCTGGTGCAAGGATTCCTGCTCCCTAATATCGATGGTATCTTCGATGTTTTTTGACAGTTTGAAAGAAATCTGACGACAAAACAAAAGTACCATGAGCATGACGTAGATGTTTCTTGAGTGACACTCACCATGATATTTGAAGAAAGTTCTTGAAGTCGATGTCTGGACTCGTATTATCAATCTGTATTGAGAGTCCATTACATTTGTCTTACAGTGTTAGTTGACGCGCTACACTGGCATGTCTACTTAATTGCTGAGGATAAAGAAAAGTCCGCAAGTGAATAAAAGTGTTCTACTGAAATGAAGTACGAGAGGCGAGTATAGGGTTTTGTTCTGATGGATGCAGTATGCTCCTGTTTTTAGAATGTGAGAATCCGGCTGGATATTCAAGACGAGGTGAGCGTGAGAGATGAGATTTACAAATCGTTTTTGCTTGCAGCAGAGTTGGAGAGCAGCGTCGTGCAACAATCGATTCCATTCTGTTCGATTTTTTTTTCTGTCGTTCTTCCTGGACGAGAGAAGCGTAGGCAACGAGAAATGACGATCTTGAAATCACGATTAGATAGAGATCATGTTGTAGTAATAAAGAAAGCAAGATCTTCAAAAATGCTTATGCTAGCACCTACTTCAACGCCGTTAAGATGATCCTTGAGGAGAGAAAGAGAGACCAAAATTTCCTAAGATCGCACAGAGAGAAAAAATCAAGATCGTCGATCAAGATCATTGAATTAACATTCATCTAACCATCGATCGTTAAATCGTTTCCTCGTAACTTCTTCGCAGGTCCTCCCTGTCCTTTTTTGTCACTTTCCATGGTACTAAAAATTCGATTTTTGATAGAAGATTCGATACATACTTAGTCAAGATACAATCTTAGTAGATTGACACTCGTAGTTACTTCGTCGAATCCATGATTATCCTCATGATCAAAAAAAATGAAAAGTTTAGCTCCCTCTCTTGTAGTTCTTCTGTGCAGCGTATCATGACCATTCTTGTTGTTTTCTCTTGTCTAAAAATCACAACTCTTCAGTACACTGTACTTACCAAAAAATGTATGATGAATGGAGAAAAATACATGGGCTATACGATGCGCTGCAACACGCTAGTACGCACAGACAATGGGACGAAAGGACAATAGGACAGGGAGTAGCACGTAATTGCAACATCGGAAATGGGTATTAGTTCCTGAATCTTCAATCATGTTATGATGTTGATGTTTTGATGTTGTCACAAGCTCCTGCCGGTTGTGGACCTCCACGATCTGAAGATAGTACCCGAGGACAATCAACATCTTCCCACTTGTTACTTCTTGATGATTATATATAATGAGGTTGCTTGGTAATTTCCTCTCTCCAGCTTCAAATGTATTTCTGACTCTTTGTGCACCTCCTGCTCCTCACTTCTCCAGGTTATACATCGCGAACATGCTGAACTACATCAATCCCTACGGTTTTTCCACGACGAGGATTCGGAACCAATATCACTGGTTAATCTCTGGTTCTTGCAGACGCCACTACATGCAGAATTTGTTATGCTGCCGAGTTATGACGACCAACAAAAATTAGGTGATGTCGGACCTCCAGATGTCGTGGACGAGTACCATGATAACCATAGCGAAGATTAGCTTGGGCCTCTGAATATGACGAGTACGATCTGTCTGGGCTTTCATGACGAGTACGATTTTCTTCGGCTTTACGATTTTTACGGTTTCCTCGAAGATAGCGCTGCCGCCAAGCGCTTGCCTGCTTACGCCACTCCATATGATCTCCTCTATGCGCAAATTGCTCTTTCGTGCCTCTGACAGCAGCAATCGCGCTTTCGCTGCCGCTTTGCGCTTACGCTTCTCGCACTTTCGCACCACTTCGCACCTGCGCGCGCATCACAACAATAACCAAAAAAGCCCAAGAGGCGTCATATTTCTGCTGATTGCAGACTGAAGTAGTGGCATCCGCTAGATAGAAGACCCCTGATGAAGCTGAAAATGAAGAGTCCCGATAACGATCATAGAGGACTGATGAAGATCACCATCAAATAGTCTGCTCGCTTGTTGTAAATCGCTTTCGCTGTCGTGGATCAAGAAGACGATGAAATAAAGCGCTTCTTGATGACGTTCTTCCGCTAGTAACTGAAGTTGCACATCTTCACGTCCTGCAGGAGCATCGTCGAATCTGCTACTGCGCTGAAGGGAGCAAAATGTCTGCTACTAGTTGTGCTGCGATGTTGTGGGAGGAGCATCAAATCAACTGCAGATGGATCATCTAGTCCAGCGATGCTATGGGTGCAAGGGGCGACAAGACAGATGTGGGAATAACGTCGTAGAGAAGAGCCAGCTGCATCAAGGTGGATCGTCTCTACTGCGGAATAACTAGGCTTGCTGACTGTTGTTCGTGACACGAATGCTGTCGCAAGCCTAGACGAGGGGTGGCAATCGAGGGCCAGTGCAAGGGTCGTGCGGTGTAGCAGTGGCCATAAAAATGCAAGGGTGCTATGATAGGGCGGGAAACTTCGGGTTTTGCAGTAGTTGTCGGCAGTTGTAGGGTCGGTGCTGGGAACTGCGGACGCGGCAATGCGGCAAGTCTATCTGACTCTACGTAAACGCACGTGCGGTCGGTGGAGGCTTGCGGCTGGGGTTCATCTTCTTTGTTGTTCTACGTAGTAGAAATCGGAATATCACAGTCACAGTATCTGTGTCGGTGAAATTCTAGCTTTGTGTTTGTTACGACGTAGTTTCCGGTTGGAGCAGGGTATTTCGGTGCGTGCTGGGTATGGTATGGCCGCGGACTGGCTTGCCTATGGGGGGAATCCGCATGCTGGGAGGAGCAAGAATGCGGCCAGCGGAAATACTGAAGTTGTACATCATCTTGATCATCATCTAGTAGAAGTTCCAGATCCAGTTGTAGTAGAAAAAGATCAAAATACCCGTCGCGTTCTTCGTAGAAGTGGGAAACTTTTAGTTGTGAAGAGAAACGCGCATGATCGAAAGAAGAAAATTCCTAGAAGTGAAGAAAATTACCACGCTGTTGCTTCTTCTCGCTGCAGCTGCACATCACAATTGCCGTCGCTGCTGCATGGTGTTGCTCTACAACAGCCATTCGCCTTCTCGCAGCTGCTTGCTGACATCAATCTGCTTCACACGCCAGCCATCTCTACCACTTCTTTGCTGGTTTGCCCCATGAAGTCACATCACGATCCCCGACTACCTCGTAGATATAGCGGAAGCCACTACTGATCAAACAAAATCAATACTTCAATTAAACGGGCATAATGGACTTCGGTCGTCGCCTTGATTTCACCACTAGGGCGGCTGCAGAGCAGAATCTTGCCATGAACCGAGGCAAGAGCAGACCGATCTTCTACTTTCGCAAGTAGAAAGCAGCACGTTTCCGGATCATCATCTTCAAATTTTTGAACTTTTTCTTGCTATTCCGATGTTGATGACGAATTTTTGTCTATGGTGATGATAGGAGCAGATGACAACTACGAATAGTTCTACTACAACTCTTGATGAAATCTTTACGGGTGACCCTTCATCTAGTAGACCGCTACGAGCAGTACGACGAGTTGCGATGAGCAGGATCAATCTTCAACTACAACAACATTCTCGCTTTTTCTTCAATTTCCTGACAACCACGAGGATCGCACAGCCACGAGTACCTACCGCACAGTTGTAGCCATGGTTTTTACGCTTAGTACGATGACCTTTACGATCAGGTATCATCTGGTGCTAGTATGCGAGCAACGAAGGCGCTTTTTTCTTGGATCGATCCAGCAGCTAGCTACTCTCGTCGATCTCTGCGCGACTACTACCACGTGTGCGATTGCTGCCGCCGCGACTGCTGCGTCCGTCTTTCTTCTTCGCTCAACTCCTCGTCCTTCGCTTTTTCTTTTCTTTACTTCTATATCTCTTACTTTTCCTAGTTACAACCGCTTGTCATCTTCTAATTCTGAAAAATGTGAATCATGTCACTCATTCCTTCTTTCAGCACTCAAAAGGCATACTCGTCCTTACTCGTCCTTTGACTATTTTTTTTTTGAATTTTAAGTTTAGACCTACTGGTCGATCATCAATCATGATTAACTTTTAAATTGAATACTAGTTATAAGTACGTTGATCATGAATCATGATTAACTTTTAAATTTAGTACTAGTTGTTAAGTACGTAGCAGAACTACAACTATCATCTTATGGTATAAAGATAAGGAAAGAGGGCATGAAATGGCTCGGTTTTTTCGGTATCATTTCGGGTGGTGGTCGGTGTAGTATTTAATAGTGGGAAAGTTTGGAGCGCCGGAGCAGGAGAAGGTAACTCAACATCTACCGTCTTCTAGCATCATCTTCAAGATTCTCTTTGTGCTTGTGGAGAAAAGGTCGGTTGATGTCTCCATCATCCGTCATGCTGAGCGGTTTTCAGTATAAGCGCAATAGCTGCAGAGGAGCTAGATTACGTCGTACACGAACAGCATCTAGATCAACTGCATCGTCTTCGTCTTTGTCTCCAGAATTCATCTACGTCGTCGTGTACTTGTAGTTTTCCAGTGCTGTCGGTTTCATCCAGTTCTTCATCATCTCCGGTTTCTTCGTTTCACTGAGGCGATAGCGGAGGTGCAGACGTCGTGTATGGCAGAGTTATATCTTCAGTCTAACCTCTCTTGGTTGCGATTTTACCTTGAATTTTCAGGTGAACTTCCTCCTGTTGCACTAGTTGGTTCTTTGCCTCTCTCATAGATGGAGTGACGGAATGACGTGCGGACAGTGGGGAAAAAAGGGTGGGTTAAGACGTTTTTGGTATGGTGCTCGTGATAAGATGTTTTCCTGTAGATAGTAGACTTGGCATGATTGAAAGTATAACTTCTTTATCTAGTATGGGTATTATTCTTGTCGTTTATCCGCATCTACTCATGTTGATACTTTTCATTGTTCATAAGAAACACTGAAGCATATACTTGTGATGAATCAGTTGGCGGACTTTTTGACTCCCCTACATCCCTCTAGATTGAGCATCCCTTTTTTTTAGATTATCACCATGGAGAGAAGATATTAGCTAGCATAATTTTCAGGAGCATGATTGTTAAGGAGTAAAAGTTTGATCTTGTGTTTTTTTCTCGTCGAGTCGATCTACCTGCTGGTCGCCGGATGAAAGTCAGCACGATCTTTTTTTGGAAGCGTTGGTTTCCACGTCCGTACTTGTAGAAGAAGGTCCACCATGACCACAGATCCACGTCGCAGGAGTACAACTACCTACCTACCTACACACTGCCACAGACTGCCAGTCACTGGTTGCTTCGCTTGGGTGCCCCCGACTCTTGCGCTTCAACCAGCTCCTCCTCGTGGCAGCTAGATATAACGTATGGTGGCAGTACGACCTTGACCGAACATGCTCGTCTGTACAACAACTTCTTGGTCACTACGTTCTTACCTGGCTGGTCATATAAGCTGTAGTACAACTTTTCTTAGCTGGATGAAAATGAATGAAATCACTGGTTCTTGTAATAAAGTAGATCAACGACCTCAACAGGAGAAGTCAACATGGATGAGCACAGCTTGTTAATAAAAAAGAAGAGTAATGAGAGAAGACTTCTAAGTTGTTAAGAGAAGTGGCAGTCCAAACAAGTTGGAGCCATGATAACGACCTACTTTTTTTTTGACTGAGAGAACGAAGTGCGTTGTCCTTAGCTAGTGTAAAGATAATGGGAAAAGAATTACGTTTCTTCAAATACGAAATCACCTTATGATCATCACGGCAAATATATACGAGTACGACTACGACGAGTTTTTTGTCCTCGTCGAACAACAAGAACTCCTGATGGTCACGGTCGCGCTTTTTTGGCAGCTCTCTCTTTGTGGAACAAGGGAGTCTTAGTATGGGCAGCTTCATATGTTAACTCACATTTTGAAGTCCGTTGTGGAAGCAAACTTTTGCTTTTTGCACGGGGTCTTTTCTTAAATTAGTTAGTTTAAAGATTTTTCTTTTTGCACGGCGGGCGCTCCTGAGACGGTTTTGACCATCGACAGCAGTAGCACAAGTGCAGGGCATGACTACGGGCGTATGTTGCCCAACTAGATCGATACGAGGATAGCTAGACATGAGGAGGACGTAGTGGTAGTCGTGAGCTCTGTATTGGTACAACTAGATGATGGAGATCACGGAGGCGGTTTAGTTTAGCGGCGAACTCGGCTAGTACAACTAGATGGTCACGGAGGACGGAGGTTTAATTTAGCAGCAGCAATATGAACATGAAGCTATAGGAACGTACGCGCATAGCAGCTATACGAAACAAGCGCAGGCCACCCGACTTCTTATATTCTACTTCTACTTCATGTCATCTAGTACTACAACTTCTTTTACTAGTACTTCTTCTACTTCGTTATACAACTAGAACTACCCACTATGCAGGGTTAAGGTTTCTTATAAACGATGCCAACACACCTTCCGCTCATCCAAAAGTCGATGGTGGACAGGTGATTTTTTATTTATCCCGCTTATATGGTGCTACGCAAAAAACTATTCATCTTGTTCTAGTAATTTTTTTATCTTTTAGCTTTAGAAAACTTACACTTACTCTAGTGATACTAGCACTAGTATTTCTTGTAGTAGTTTTAGTTCTTCCAGTTGTAGGGAGCTAATCTTTATCTTATTCTTTAACTTTATAACCACTGAGGCTGGTGAGATCCGTCGAGGCGCGAAGAGGATGGCTGAGACTCAAACAGAACAGAGCAGCACGTGATGGTGATGATGATCGTGAGAGGCACGGGAGCGGTGTTTATATGGAGGGAGACACAATGCGGAGTGTGTGAACCTTATAAGTTGTAATTCTAGATCTAGTCGTGTAGGTACTTTTAGTTAATTGTTCGTTGTAGTTAGAAGTATTATCTTTAATGTTAAAAATCTAGAATTCTTACTCTTAGATTTTACTCTATCTCTAGTTTTAGTTTTACTTTTAATATTTGGATGTCGTCTAAAGTAGCAGGCGGATATTTTATAATCCGCGCGGGAGAGGCGCAGGCATGGGTGGTCTTCGGTTTACTTGGGTGCGATGGTGGTGGTTTTGGAAATCATGATCGTCTGGTTCACCACGTCTGTTAGGAAAGGATGAAACGCAGTGCTCTGTCAACATACATCGTCTCTACAACTCTATCGCCAATACATCATTCTTGTACATCATCTTCATGGCCTTTCTGTCTTGTTGATGCGGTAAAGAAGATGAAGAGGGATGAGGATATGGAAGATGTAGGTTTGAGTAGCTGGACGTCTCGTGATCTTCTTCAACATTCTGGTACTGGTAGTTCTTGTACTCCTTCTACTAGCAGTTCTCTACCACACTGCTGGCGCTGGTGCCTATTTCCGACCTGGTTCATCCTTACAGCGCCGTGTGTATATGCTGGTTATTTACGCGTGATCTTCATGCTGGAATGAGCTGATGATATCTAAGGTCCTGATCGATGTCTTCGTGCTGATTGGTTTTCTTGGTCCTCTGCCTATCTCTCTGCGTTAAGAAGATTATGCTGATAAGCCAGTTGTATCACAACTTCCTTCATCTTGGTCCACCTCTACCTAGTAGTACTAGTACTACATCTAACATCACTTCATCTTCAAATCACACGACATCACGGCCACTTCTCCTATCAAAGGGTAGCAGTAGTTGTTGAGGTTGGGAACGTTGATGATGAAGTGGTGGTAGCTTGCCGCAAGCGCGTCTCGTCTGCGACCACCTCTGGAAGTTAATAGTACAGCAAAGGAAGTACTAGAACAACTAACCAGGTTGATCATCTTCACTCAGGTCTTCAGGTCGGATGATGATGTTGAGTACCTATCAGCTTCAGGTGGATTCACAACATCACTCAGTCAGTACGTTACGGCAGTCCCATCACAGTCCAGGTTGGTAGTGCGATCTGTGCCTAGTCTGTGCAGAGATTTGGTCGATCAGATATCTTCAGATGAGACGAAGATACATCGATACACATCAGGGTCGTCCTCGTATAACTTCAGTCACACAGAAGTGGAGGTTATCAACTACACACAGTCTCAGTGGTCATCAACTACACACGACAGTGCTAAGTGCTACAAAGTCAAGTGCGGCCACAGTTGTCTGATGAATGCGTAAATCGACTCCGTAAAATCTCCTGTCGTATATCCTGTAAGCCGGTTCCGTCGGGTTGGCATCTTTTATAGCTCGTGGGAGAAGACATGGGCGGGTCTCTCTAGGAAGGAGAGGCCTGATTACCCTCCCTGCCTTGCTACTTACATTTAGTTGTAGTGGTGGTAGTTGATTCGATACACGCAGCATTTTTATCGACGCTTAATGACAACGGGTCTTCTACTTGTTTACTTGAAATATGATCTTACTTTCTCTTCTTCTTGGAGGAGGTTGGAAGATCTTCAGGTTTATTTGTGGGGGATGTTGTCGTTTGAGTTGGTTTCTTTGTTGTGCGGAAGCGATTCCTTGTTTTTTTCTCGCCCTTCATCAGGAAGACATGATCGCATCTTCTCAAAAACAAGATTTACCACGATGATCAAAAAACAAGAACTTCTTTATGTAGAAGACCGAAGGTTTGAACTGGACATAGTGAAATGCGATCATGTTGAACTTGAAAAATTCTATGAAGAAGAACGTTATGGTCTACAACAACTTCTAGATGAAGGCGAGATTTAAACCTGGTTTTCGAAACTTCTTGTATCTTTTCTTCTACTTGGCATAGGGTAATTCGGTACTGCCTACAGCTGTCTGACCTCACTTGAGCAAGGTAATAGATTTGACGGAATCTTCTTCAAGAATATCACAGCAGCTATAAAGTTTTTTCACGCACCTCCTACGTACAGCTACAGTACCTTTACCGCGAACCTACGTACAGATGAAGTACCTCCTACGCGAATACGCACCTAGCGAACCTACAGCCTACTACCGTACCTCTACGTTTACCTCCGTATACGTCCACGTTTACAAGGTCGTGCCTACAACAAAGTCGTGCCTCGTCGTAAAATTGGTAGTACCTACCTCCTGTACCTGTTACGTGTCGCTAGCGGATCTATAGTGCCTCCTGTATAGCGGATCTATAGAGCCTACCTGTTACGCTTACGCTACCTCACGTTGCTCGTACGCGACCACTCCTCGTTTATAAGCTGTGTCTACATCAACCTCTACCTGTTACGCTACGACTACTCCTCGTTAACCTCGCTCTACGTGTATCAGACCTCGTGTACAACAACGTCGTCGTTATCATCTACAACTAGAAGGGTGGCGTTTGTCGAATGAAGGCTATACAACAGACTAACACATCACGAAAAGGCGCTGCAGCTTCAATCGAGACAGCAACCAAGGTCCTCATCTAGGGGAGACAATCTTCGTGCCCTGCTACAGTCGTGCCCGTGCCCTGATCGCGTTGTTGGTGTGATGAACGGACGATACGAACTAATGAAGATGTTCTAGCAGGTTATTTTGAAACTAAAATGCCAGCCTTCTTTTATTCATAACAATTCCTTCTACTCCTAGTTCAACTAGGCTAGGTGTAGTACTAATAATAAATTTTTGATAATATCGTCTTTAGATCATGTAGTACTATGCCTCGGTAGAAGAAGGAGCCTCTCCTTTAACATCTTCGTTTTTCTTGAAATCTTTTTACCTCGCGATATGACGCACTTGGGCCGTCGAAAACCTCTACCTCTTCTTTCCAGCGCGTGTTATGATAAAGTTTTCCGTTTTATTCGTCGTCTTACGTTTTTCCTAACAGCAACATCATCACGTTCGTCCGAAAAAACTCCGTTTCTCAACATAAGGACTACAACTACTGCAATTTCCAGCATCATTTCTTCGCAGTTTTTCCAGTGGCTGGCTGCTGTATGATCCGCTACACTATGCGGAGCTGCAACATCTTACTACGGTTTGCTTTTTAGGATCATCATCAAGAACATGATCCTCTTCGACATCTTGTTGCTGAATACATGTTCAATCAACATGAAACATTGATCTTATTTTCTGAGTAATAGAAGTACATGGAGATTCTACGTTTCATCGAGAAGAACCTCTTTATGACTCGCATGAAATATCACAATCTTTCTCTTCTTCTTCTACATATACTTCGAGCTTTTTATCCTCAATTCTTTCGCGGTATAATCACGGAGGCGCGCTGTCTTCTTTTGCGGTCCGCTGTGCTTGCTTCTGTGGACCTGGAAGTTCTTTTTACACAACATGATGATGTTAAGTCGATTTGAAATAAACTTTCTTCCTTGCCTTACTAAGTAGACTTCTTCTCACTCTTTCTTCAGGTTGTTCTTCAATTTCTGACAACTTCCTAGGTGGACAACGATGGACATACCAGTACCACAGACAACGGAGACATCCAATAGAACACAATACAGACGTGAAGATGCTTCACTTTCATTCAACACTCAACAACTTTATACCGTCGTCGTGTTTCGTTTCGTCTCTTACTCTTCTTTCTTCCGTCCTTCGTAGTTTCTGTTTCTTTCATCTACTTCTACCGAGGCTAGAAAATTTGCATAGCTCGTTGTTCATATTACCTATTAAGTCGTAGTAGTTAGGGTAGTAGAGGTAGCTACAATAAGCTAGTCTTTAACTTATTATTTTTAGATACTAGTACCCCTGTCATCTAAATCTATGCCTTTCTTGTCTTTTTTTCTTATGGGCGGGCCGTGGGCCAACATACCAGGAGACGTTAAGTGGAAATAGGTGCGGCTGCAGGCTTTTAGCAGGAGTATGGGCATCGGCTATGACGGTAGTGTGGCCACAGTTACTAGACGCTGGTGCTTCTAGCAGAGGAGAGTCTTCGTTGTTTTTCTGCAGCTTTTATAAAGGCTCATATTACTTTTCTCAAGCTCATCTACCTCTACGTCGTAATTGTGGTACAAAAATTACTATGCTTCTAATTGAGTCTTCTTCTTCATGATCATCTTTTATTTGTTCTAGCAGTAGGAACTATCCGACTTTGAAGAAGATCATGATGTTGAAAATGACATTAGAAGAACACAAGTTTTTTTTGTTGAACAATAGATAGTTGTAGGACCTCTTTTTTCATCTCCTCTATTCCCTTGTATCGTTATAACCATCGAGGCGACGACGTTCCTGCTACTTGGGTCGTTTCCTGAATGCTGATAGAAGTGGAAGACGTCAACATTCTATCACATGTTGAATATCAACATCAACGAACAAAGTGCTGGTCTTGGTCATTTTGTACTTGTTCTACGTACAACCAGACGAGGAAGGTGGCCGTAATCCAGACGCTCGTTGTGGTGAATTTTTACTACAGTGTGGATTTGATACAACAATCATAAGATTATTTCCTGTTCGTTTCCTTGATCTTGATCATAATTCTTTCTAGGTTTGTTTTTGAGTTACGACTGACGGCAAGAACTACTTCTCGGATCATTATTACAATTACTCAATTAATAGTAGAGCTGATACCCAATTTTTAGTAGTAGTTTCGTGGGGCGGCTATGCCTCCTTGTTTCCTAACTTTCCTACCTCAGTTACTTATCGCGTCCGATTTCACACACTTCAACTTCTACACTGCGGATTGAAGATGTCATCATCTGAGAAGGACTTAGCGTTAGTATCTTCTAAAAAGAAAGTTCAGCAAGCGAGATGCCACGTCTCACCTCGAATCCGGCGTATGAACGGTAAGGGTGTTGACATTAGGATTTAAGGAAAAGTGGCCCGGTTTAGGTAATGGCAGCGCGAGTCCTCGGTTTGGTTTTTTGCTTGGTTCAAGCTTCATCTACGACCAACAAAGATCCAGCATCAAGGTCAAACTCTCAACATAGTATGGTCAGTTTGGTATGAAAAACTTTATCTTATATCTATCTTAATCTTTACGTTCTTGTGAAAATTTCTTGATGATCATCCCTGATGTTAGGTAATTGATTCACCTGCAACTTCGTTTATCTCTGACAACTGTTTGAAATAGCATGCACAACAACATCAACTTGTACTACTAACTAGTTGAAATCATGTGTAGTTATTTCATCACTTCTAAAATGTTAACACGGTTGTATGAATCAATTACAACATCCTCCTTGTCCCTCCTAGTCCATCTTATCCCCAGGGTGAAGAATATCTCGGGGCGACGTTCGTATTTCTGGGCGGCGGGGATTTTCTGCATTTTGGTAGCTTCTAGTTGTTAAGAGACTTCGGGGCGAGTACCTCTTCTAGAAGCACTTCTACTTGGTCATCGCGTTTGTTGCTCCTCTAGCCAGCGAAATCAGGGGCCTCTCTGGGTATGACTGGTGGAATCAAATTTGTCTCAGTAAAATTGAAATTTTCGAATTCGTACTTCTAGTGAGTTGTAACGACCACGTAAGAACTTCTAAAATTGAAAATTATTGCTCGTTTTTTCAATCAAAAGATGAAAATTGAACTATAGATTTGATCATGATCATCAACTACAGGTCTTCTTCGACCACTTCCAGTCTTTTTCCTCCTCTCTCATCTCTTGTTTCCTCCCACGAGCTTCTACATCATCTTCAGATCTCTTCACAAAAAAAACCTTTAGTCTCCTCTGCCTCGAATCCGACGTATGAGCGGTAAGGGCATGAGCGTTTCTATTGACGTCGTTCTCACGAGTAGAAGTACGTCCACGTCGTTTTCAGAAGGGACTGACGCACGAGAACTCCCGTTTTTCCACTGGTCAGATTCATCAGTTGTACTTTCTTGTGATTGATGTGATGTGATTGAGATTCAAGAATGATGGTTCTTTTACAAAATTTCCTATACCTACTGTTGTTGTTGCATTTCTAATTTTCCTCAAATATTTTTCCTTCCTAAGCCTAACTTTCTTGCTAAGTTAGTTTCCTTACCTTTTCTTGTCTCTCGTTCAAATCGGCCGCCCATAGATCGCGTACGGCCGACATTAACGCTTTGTGCTTGCCTGGTTGTGCTGTCGGTCACTGCGCTCGTTTAGTCACCCAGTGCGGGTCGATAGCTGTACTACATGAAGACGAGGATTTTTCACGTCGGCAGCTAGCTTACTACGTGGTTTCTATGCTAAAGGGGTACAACTGGTAGATGTAGAAATACTGGATGAAAAATTATGGATATTACATTGTCTCACAGAGACTATGACTATTTTTTAAGATAGAACTGAAACTCTGTAGATAATGATAAGGTAAGTAGCTAACTACTACTCCAATGAAATTATTATATTTACATGTTGACCATGTTCTTGATGTGTGAAAATTTCACAACAACTTAATTCTTCTTTTCTCTATAATCTATCCCTTCCTTCCACTTGCTTTCTTCCTGCTCTGCTCTGCCGAGCAATCACATCTTCTTCTCTTTCTGCCTCTTTTTCTCGCTTTCGACGGATGGCAGTGGACGTGGATCTCGAAACTGCGGATTGTTGTGGAGATAGAAGACGGCTCTGGCGAGCGATTTTGGCGGTGTTTTGACGGGAATCGATATCATCTGGTGAACAATCGGTCCATATGACTTGGTGAACGCTGGTTTTGGTCATGAAGATGTTGAACGATCTCGCGCTGAACGAACGCTGCAGTCAACTCCATGACCGTAGGACGTGGAGGTGTTGAAGATGATGATGATGATGATAGGCTTTGATGTTGAAATGAACGTATACGTAGTAGATGTTCTTGTTGAACACATGTCATCATGTTGTGCTTGTATCGTTGCGAACTTCTCCCGACATCAACAAGTTACAGACTCAGTTTATCTTCACAGTACGTAGTAGTACACAGTCTGAATTTACTGTTGTATTTTCTCTGGTGGAAATTTTGGCAGTAGTGAGACATGAAATGGTCGATTATATCAGAAACAATCTCTCTGTACTGGACTTAAACGCCTGCAACAACCATGTAGTAGTGAATGCTTTAAATCATTGGTCTCTTCTGCATGCGATCATGAACTGAGTTGATTTCGACAGTTTCAGCCGCAACTATGACGATTTCGACAGGAGTCAAGATATACTCATATGTTGTCGTCCACATCTTCTGTGGTGAGCCCAAGATGCTTTTCCACGATTTTCGTTGTGCAAGTGTATGAAAAATCCATTCCACACAAACGGACGAGACAACCTCGCCACTTACAGCAGCTAACAAGAGAAGGAATGTTACAGAGTGTTCTTGCGAGTGTGCGCATTTTGGACGAGGACACAGCGAATGCTAGAAGACACGTTGCAAAGGAACTTTGATTGAAGTGCCTTAGCGGTTGATGGTGATGGGCTTTGGTTTTAGGCCTGGAAGGAACAGACGTCCAACAAATTATCGGTAAAAAAAAGAACTTCTTGTTTTGTCATGGTTGTGAACGCCTCTGACGCGATTATGTGCAAAACTGCATAAGTATACCGAAAAACTAGTCTGTAGTAGTTGTGAATGTTTTGAACAAATCTTCTAGTGTCCCACACATATGGTGAGTATTGATGGCAAATTGGAGTACTTATGTTGAATATGTTTACTTGAACTTCGCCTTTCACATTCACTCCAAACCACAGGACGATATTGCTTTTTCTCCACATGAAAATAGAGAAAGCGAAAGCATAGAATTTTGGCCTGGCCATTTATTACTCAGCAACTTGGAGTTTTCTCAAGGACAAAGCTAGCCGATAGGCCGCTTACGAATAAACAGAGCATTAATATTTTATTTTTGATTATTCAGTATCAGTTTTCATTCTTGGTGTTTGCTTTTGCTTTTGCAAATCAACAAATATGATGTTGACATATCGTTTCGTTCTTGCTGCGGCGTCCCTCAGCCTCCAGTCGGTTCTGGGCAGTTTTGTCAAAGGTAAAAATGAGAAAAAGGACACCACCTTCCTGCCAGCCGAGATCTGGAACCACGTGCACTCGTTTGGTATGGATGATGTTTATTCTCCCATCTTTATCAGACCATGATCGAGGCTCCTCCCTTAGTAGGTTGTGCGTTTGATGTAGTGAGGGGAATAGTAGGGGAGCCGTGATCGTCTGGCCTTCGAGGGGAGAAAAAACATCATCCATATTCGGGGCGGACAAAGAGTTACCCCGCGGCTACACCTACGGCGAAATGGAGACTACACGTAAAAACCTGGAAGCGTTCTATCAAAAACTGAAGTACGCAGCAGTCGATGAATTGTTGAAACAGCGTTTGGGTTTGCCTTCGTCCTCTGAGTC